AACCCACGGGATGAATAGGGATGGTTGCACTCTGTATTCTTATTCGGTCACCACACGGATTATCTAAAATATATCTCGTTTCAATTACATTTTTAAATAAATATTGGTATTCGAACCAAAACCGCTTTAATATTGGAAAAAACATAGCAAGAGAAGCAATGAAATTAAGAATCCTTTCATAATATTTATTTAGGACATTGATGAACCTATTTACAAAGCGATCAAAGTAAACGGCTAACAACATAATTATTTATATAGTTATTATTTAAAATACCTACAAAAATATAAAGTACTTCAATGGTCGGTTCAATAACCCCTGACCAGCTTGAGCCAGGTATTGCTTATATTCCCCAGCCTATCCCTATACAATAACAATAGCTCATAGGGACAAACTGGGGAAAATAATCCCTTTTATTCCCATCTTATCTACCTTTCCTTTCAAAGTAATTCTCAAAAGTCTCCTAAAACTTTTTCGCTCATCCCTAAACTGCAGTAGGGTTGTCTCTTATTCCATAAGTGACATTAAAATTCTAGTTGTCAAATTTAATAAGTCTCTGTCTATACTCGTCGAGATGAAAAAAAAAATATAAATGAAAATTCTGAGAAGTATTTATTAATAGCTTTTGCCTGCGGCTGCGCCCGCGTAAATGTTAATTATCGCAGTAAAAAGTAGCCTATGTCTTTCCTCAAGAATCCAATTATCACTATACCAAATTTTATCTAAATCGGTTCAGCAGTTTAAGCGTGAAGAGGTAACAGACAGACAGACACACACACTTTCACATTTATAATATTAGTATAGATCATGTAGTTCTACCATGTTTTATTTATTAATTTACTAAGACACTGATTTTTTAAACAAAATTATATTTTTATTGATTTTTTTAAATATATATTATAGTTAAAGATAGACAGATAAATGTGAACAAACTAAACGCTCTATTGATTAAAATATCATCATCATCATCATCATCATCAGCCTATCGCAGTCCACTGCTGGACATAGGCCTCTCCCATTGCACGCCACTTAGATCGATTTTGGGCTTCTCGCATCCAGATTAAAAAAATAATATATCCAGATTAAAATATCGCATGTGGTTAATTGTTAACGTTATAGTATGCATGAAATACATAAAAAAATCTAAAAATCTATTTGTTTTCGCCATTCCAATCGTGATAATGCTCAGTTATTGTCTTATCATAAAGCACACATATTCAGATATTACATCAAATAATTTGTTTTCATACATTTCATTTTCTTGGTATTACGTTAAATAACATCTGAAGTCAAAACAATGTCATGTAACAGGAAAATTGAAGAAAAAAGTTTGTAGAAAGTGTGTTGAATAGGTACAACTCTGTTATTACACAATGATCACTGTTCTGTTCCTAAGGTTTCTAAGATATAAAACTTATTAAATTCTTGCTAAACAATTGTTTTTTTAATCTAATAGGTAACCTCACTGACTTGATGAAAAGCAAGAAAGGAACTTCTCAACACCGGTTTTCCGGCCGGTTCCGGTCGAGCCTGGCCTATATGTGGCTCAACATGGCTCTCCCACGGTCAGTCTGTTAGTCAGTAAATTAAGAATAAAAACTTTATTTATCGTTGATTAATTATTAATTATAAGTAGGTACCATTTAGAATATTACCATGGAGAGGAACAAATAAATTCTTCATTGTCTATTATCAATCGCTTTTGTTTGTCTAAAGTGCGTTAACATTGTGTACATATACAACATTTCTGTATTAATGTGCATAAATTATATACTGATAATGGGCTTCGATGTATTCGGGTTGCCCACTCAACTTTGAACTGATTCCCGAGGGCTATTATACCACAGTTTTGTATATACACTAGATAGGGACACAGTAGCCACACAGTCTGACCCTCAGTCAAGAAATAATTGAAAAAGGGGAATATCGTACATGTGTGTATTTTATACAAATAACTCAGACTCGTAAGTGAATTAGTATATTCCAATAGCCAAAAGGTTAACGCCTTCCTACAATCTATTTATCTATATGTTACTGTATTATATGTTTATATCTTTGTTAGTATCATCTTATCGCGTATCATAAACGTTGCGGGTCTCCGCATAATTGCGACACAAGCGATTGCTGTGTCGCTTGGTTAAGTCTCATCATAAAATGTAAAATCATTTCTTAGGAAATTTAAAATTGATTTATTATGTAAAAGAACTCAGTTCGATTAGTTGAGCGTGGTTAACTCATCCTGGGTTAGTCAGCTTCGGCAGTGGACCTTAAATTATTGTTGTTTCTTTTTCTTCTATTTTAAAAAAGACAACTCCCGCATATATCCTGTGTTGCGGAGGACTTTACAAACATACATGCAACGGACACAAAGAACACTCAGACTCAGAACAACAATTTCTGGATCACACAAAGTGTCGTCCCATGTGGGGTTTGAACCCACAACACTCGGCGTAGTAGGAAGCGGCGTGGCGACCGCTTAAACCATTACGCCATCCGTGCAAAGTTTAGAAAAGAGGTGCAAAACCAATTTTTGGAAAAGTATTTGGGACTAAACGTGGTCCTTTAAAGCTATAATCGTAAATAATCCGCGAGACGACGCTACTTGCACCTCATAAGTGGATCCTTTTAATTTTGCTTTTAAAACCAAAAAGTTGCAAAAATTTGAACGTCGATAAAAAGTAAATACTAAATATCTATTTATCTATGCTTTGAGATTTAAACATGGAACCGAACATTTCTAACTCAAATCAATACACCTATTCAAACTACATGCAAGGACGAATTGTCTATGATCGTTATTTTGACATATTGTCTTTATGGTTCCCTTAAAAACATTAAGTTTATTTGAACTAGCTAGCTTGAACTTAGATTAATTAGAAGAGTACGGCGTGTATTGACACCACCCTTTCGGCAATAAATATGCAATAATAATACGTTATACTATCTAATAGACGGGGAGAATGTACAATATTACAGTTACTCTACCCCGATAGTGCGTAGCACACTTAGATAAAGTTGTATTGTGTTAGATAACGACAATAACAAAACATACAAATATTACATTCAGCGATAAACATCACATCACATCAACAGCCTATAACAGTCCACTGCTGGACACAGGCCTCTCCTTAGAAAAGAGGTTTTGGCCTACTATACCACGCTGGCCAGACGGGTTGGTATAGGGTTTGTGTCAAGTTTTCCTTCTCTTTGCAGTGCTCTTGTCCTGCGTAGTTTGCTGCCTTAGTCGGCTCTTACGACACCCACGGTATGAATAGGGGTGGCGACACTCCGAATTCTTAATCCGTTACCACACGGAAGATAAAACATTCCTGTATTTTGAGATAAATTAGTATCTACTTCTAGTAAGAGACATAGATAAATAAAATAGATTTAGTTTTAGTTTTAAAACAATTTATACTTTTGAATCGTCTGCAAAAAGCAGGAAAAAATCTTAATTCAGTTTAACTTTTATTTGTTTGTTACCTCAGAACTTATTTTGTTTATTAGTTATTTGGAAAGGAATACTTCTTTTTAGGTCTCATTCAATTTGGAAGAAAATACCGTTTATAAAAGTGGAAAATTAAGGAATTAAAAATGCAGTTTTTTTACAATACCTCATTATGAAGACGCTTTTAAGGCCATGATACTTCTTAAAAGTTAATTATTAATAACTAGCTGGCCCGCGCAACTACGTCTGCTTCCCTCAAAAGGAATAAAATCACCCCTTTTTTGCAACATTGTTAATTGATACTTGGCTCCTAATGGTTGTAGTATGATGTTATATAGCCTATATCCTTCCTCGATAAAAGAGCTATCTAATACTAAAAGAATTTTTCAAATCGAACCAGTAGTTTCTGAGACTACCCGAACATGCAAACTCACAAACTTTACCTCTTTCTAGGTAATATTAGAATAGAAGACAAGATAAAAATAAAATCTTGTGTCGTGGGTAACTTTACAAACATACATGAATCGGACACCTAGCACTATTGACTAAAAAATATACCTTTGTGCAAAGGTTTTATTTTTAGAATTACATTTAAAAATGCTTTCTAGCTTTGTTTCAACCCACGGATGCGCGAATTCTGCTGTTTGAAAAGACACTTATCTTGACTTATTTATTTTGTCATGTTTAGAGATAGTAATATTTAACCACATTACATTCAATTACCCATTAGTCAAATTAGCAACTGTTAATATCTGATTTGTATAAGGAAAGAAAGTAGATCACGTCAAAAATGGCGGATGGCTAGACTGCGTTAAGCAGAGTGCAAAAAAATAAAAAATAGAATTAACTTTGAAGTTGAGAGCGAAAATTTTATAAGAGGTGGTCAATTTGTAAAATGTAGACTTAATATGCGATGTCAGTGCCGAAAAATTTTGAACTGAACTGTTTTTCACACACTAGACTTTGGCAGAATTGTCGGAACATCGGCACAGTTTGCCACAAACAAAAAAAAAACGAAAAAAAAAAAGAACTGTTTTTTAGCCTTTGACATTTTTTTCCATATTCTTTCCATTTATTATAAGAAAGCTGATGCTAATAATTTAGCACTGAAACCTGATAAGCAAAATTTTTCAAGCATACAGAAACAGTAGAAGTTGTGTAAATAAGAATGATAGTTTAGTTGATACAATCTTTGTAGATACAGATAAAGAATTCAATTACAACAAAGTGATTACAGCAGCATTAACATAGGTAATACAACAATCAGATAAAACATAACTAAACAAATATATGTTAATTTGCAAAATTTATGCGGCAAACGTACGTCAAACATTCTAAACTGGTATCCATTGACAAATAAATGACGTTACAAAACTAAATATTTAAATATTTGTCGTAATTTAAAAGTACTAACAACTTATTAAGAAAACAAGAAACACGAGTAGGAAATATCACTTCACAACACAAGATTAAGACAATTTAACACCAAAAATTTGTTAAAGAATCACATAAATAATAAAGAAATTTAAAATTATAAACAAATCTAATTCTCACCTTCAACCATCGCCTCCGAGTCTCAGTCAAAAAGTCGGAAAGTACCATCTTCAACACAGACAAAATACGAAGTATATTTTACGAAAGAACGCGTGCGAGCGTACTTAGCTCAGCAAACTAGCGTGCTCACTCTATGGAACTCACTGAGGGAATGTCGGGAGGACCGCACGCTCTCAAACATTACACAAACCCCGCTGCCCCCTGCCGCCTCCGCACCACACCCTCCGTGGGGTCCGATTAAGCTCCCTCTGTTACAAAAAACTGAGTACAGTCCGATGTCCGATCTAAGGGACTGTCTGCGGCATTTTTGATTGCTTAATAATCAAATTAAAAAGGGTGTAAAATACAATCAACTAAATGATTTCGAAAGGGTTGTTACGAGCGGCTTTTAAAGAAAAAAATGTACTTTGAATGCAATTAGTGAGAAGTAAAATTTTATAAATTGAATTTCTAGAGTGGACCTTGATTTGACATTTATAAATGAGGTTTTGTTTTTTTTTAAGTTTTACTTTTTTAATACCAAAAGACTATTGATGGAATTGCGATGAATACTACTTAGAACACTACTACACACTACTGTTTACACGACCAATATTTGAGCCTAGTTTTTTCATTGAAATTCACCTTAAAAACATCTACGTCATCAGATTTTATCATACCTTGTTTTTTTTTAAATCAGTGGCGTTTTAGTAATGAGAACATTACAATGTGTATATATCACTTGTGGAATGTGTGTATATATCACTTCGGTTGTGGAAACTGACAACATTATGAAGCTAAAATTAGGAAAATTTTGAGACTCACACCAGTAATACCTAGAAGTGCTTATTTTTTTATCTTTATTTATTTAAAGGCTTTTATTTACAAAGTAATATGTTAGCCATATCGTGATACTTGATACGCCCGATTGTGATCCTTGCGAAGTCGTTAATGATGTATAAAACAGCCTGGGCCTCGATTCTGCTATTTTATGTTCACGCCAAGCCACTGTCATACCACTGACACGCTATTGAGATGCCATCGAGTGGCCATTGGCATCGGTATAAATATCGTTAGTCTACACTAACTCAGTGTCTTTACAGAGGCGATGTACCTATCAAAAAGATTGCCATATTTGGAAAAATAAATAAATAATTTCCTTCTAATTTCAAAATATATTACGTTTTTTTGAGGAAATGATTTATTTATACCGATGCCAATGGCCACTCGATGGCATCTCAATAGCGTGTCAGTGGTATGACAGTGGCTTGGCGTGAACATAAAATAGCAGAATTGAGGCCCTGATGAATTGTATCAAATACTGGCGGCAGAAAAACTCGATGATGTGCAAATTTAATTGGGTCATTACCTATGAAATTGGAGATTTGTATTAAAATTTAACTAATAGTTTATTTATTGTTATAGCAAATCAAAGTACTGGGCCAAATTAACTATACAATTTTACCATTTTTATGTCAGTTTATTTTTGCCTTTACTGTAGTAGTCTGCATGACGGGAAGCGGAAGAAGTCAGTGAAAGCGTTTTGTACCTCTTGGGTTTTGAATTTTTGCCCACTTAAAAAAGTGTCTCAATTAAAAAAAAAACTGTTGGTGGGGTAAAGTCCGGTGAGTACGGAAGGAAACGGAGAGCTTCCAGCTATAACTCTTGTAGCTTTGCGATGGTCAGTCGTTAAGTGTGAGCTCGTGCGTTGTCGTGGAGAAGCAATGGAGACGACCAGTCGAGTTGGAGTTGACCAGTCGTTGTTGTTGAATTGCGTGCTCCTTCATCACTGTTTGCAATTCTTAGCAATAGAGATTTGCCATCACTGTTGTGTCATTCGGTATGAAGCTATGATGTATCATCTCTCTATGGGTAATCTTTTTTTTATCTATATTTTTGATATTAATGGTGGTGCTGTACCCGGGTCCACCCACTGAGATGAACACTTACGGTTGTCGTACAGTATTCACTTTGCATCGCAAGTTACAATTCGATTCAGAAAACCCTGTGAAAGTGCTATGCTTTGACGCGTAGGTCTCACTGTTGGTCGGTTAGTTCGTGTGGCACCCACTTATCTAGCTTTTTCATTATTCGATTTGACGCAAATACTTCAATGTTGTTGACTATAGTCACCGGCCGACTACGAGGCTCGTTCTTTAACTCAAAATTTCCAGATCTAAAACGATGAAACAGATAATGGACCGTGTTTATGCGAGCAGTGCAGTTAGGCTCGTACACGTTATTAATATCTCATGTTGTTTGCACAGCGGTATTTCCACGCATGCACTCTTATTCGTACGAATTTTCAGTTTGTCCACTCCGCCAAAAACTACCACAATTTCACAAAAACAAAACACTATCTAAAACAAATGACTGAATTGAAATAAAAATAACATGGCTTTCATTTATTGGAATTTCGAATTGCGCACCAATCCTCAGATAATTGGACGGCGTTGTGCGTCAGATGTCTGAAAAAATAAATTAAATCTGAAAGTGCTGGTTTTAAAAATCTCGAACTTCAAAGATCTATTATTAATGTGTGCGATGTAGGGCTATTCATTAGTACGATAAGAAACTCTAATTCAAATAGGCGTTAGACCTAGTACTCGTATCTTTAAATATAAATACTCGCTTAAATATCGTAGTAATTGATGTGGAAATTTTAGCCAGTAGTTTGTTTATCCACTTTCATACATTCCAGTTAATCCAATCTATCTAAATCGCAAATTCGTTTCAAGTCTTGAATTACAATAAATAAAACTTTCTTATAAATAGCGTTAATAGACATCTAGGAGGGGGCTAGAGAATGAATTTATCGGAACCCCCTCATCCAGACGCATAAGGGTGGCAACGTATTTCGAAAGGGTTTCTTTAAAAAAATCATCTATAAAGCTAAAAACTTATAATACTAAATTCTATTGTTCTCGGCTAGTAGATTCATCCATCTGAACGGGATTATTTACGGTAAAGGGTCTTTGAGGAACTCAAGGCTGTATACAAAACAACACAACTGGGCATTATTTATATTACGCAAGAAAGCAAAACGGCCGCCCACGTAATCCTGGAATGCGAAGGAGTGGTCTCACAACGGGCAAGTATCATACCTGGTTACAAAATCGTTCCTAGAAGCCTGTGAACGCCCCAGGAGGCTTCTGCGCTTTTGGAAGGAGCTTGGATGGCTCACCTAGCCAACCTCTTCTAGACGCATAAAGGACCACTCTTGTGGCTAAATGTGGCAATCGCAGCCCACAACCAATCATCATCATCATCATCAGCCTATCGCAGTCCACTGCTGGATATAGGCCTCTCCCATTGCACGCCACTTAGATCGATTTTGGGCTTCTCGCATCCAGCAATACCAATACATTACGCAAGATTGTAACTAACACAAATTCTCAATTGCAAATGAGTTGCTCTTGATTGTGGTTCCTGATGGCGGTTCCTTAAACGCCAAAATCCATCAAGTCGTATAGACTACAGATCGTGACAAATAAATATAAATACACTAGCATTTGCACTCGATTTTGTCTGCGTAGTAGTCGACATCAGACATGGTAGAGGATACAACGTTTCAAGATTATAGGTATACGAGTATGTAGTATTTACTGTGAGTTTGAAGACGCTACTAGAAAAAATAACTTTTAAAATAACTTTTATATAAATTTTGCAGCCTTGGAGATGGAATTTTTTACACGCTTTATATTAGCTTCACTTGTATGTTTGTTTGTATGTTTGGAACCGACTCCTTTGGGCGTGATTTTGACTGACTTTAAACGGTCAGAATTCGTTCAAACTTTGTAGATATATCGAGGACCGATGACAATACACTAATTAAAAAATATATATACATATATACTTTTAAAAAACTAAGTGGGGTGCTTTTTACTATTGAAGACAGGCACCCAACGCTTTTTTTCAAATTTATTTTCTATTTTTTAGTTTGGTTTTTTATTTTTTTTAAACTATATTTTTTTTTTTAAATCCTTTCATAGTGCACACCTACGTCACCATTTGTGACAAACTTTATGCTTCTAGACTCAGCTGTGCGTTGATCGATAGTCAGTGAATCAGTCATTCAGTTTCTTCTTTTTATTTATTTGATTTAAGGAAAACCAACAGCTATGTGTCACAACTTTAGGCAAAACAATAAGTAACAGAAAGTCAATCAGAGATTTTTACGAGTAAGATAACAGCATTATCGATATAACTTCAAGAACACTCAATGCACGTACTTGGTATACAAATATAATTATTACGGTTCGTTTGAATAAGCTGATCTCCAAAGAAATTGTGATTTAGCACTTTTTTTTTTTTTTTTACCACACACAACGCCGTCTAGTCCCAAACTAAGCAGAGCTTGTACTATGGGTACTAGACAACTGATATAAATACATATATACTTTTTTTTTTGTAAATACATGCATATTATACATAGAAACACCCAGACCAAATCAAACATCAAATGTTCATGCACACAAATGTTTGACTTGAGCGGGAATCGAACCCGCGACCATTGGAATAGCAGTCCGTTACACAAACCACTAAGTCATCCAGTCGTCACTTTGGTGGCTTTATAGGCGCAGAGTCGTAAAATTGCAACAACTTTTATTGATTACATAATTTAATTTATGTTTAGTATTTTAAATATTACCTTGTAAATATTGATATTGATTTCGTAAAATAGAGGTAAACAATTCAATTTAAACTAACAGGTTGGTTAATTGCTTGGTATTTAAACGTTTAAAACAATCAAATACTAGTTTAAATGATTAATACTTTAATAATATGACCTTGAATTGAAAGTGATAACAAACTTATAAAATAGTCGTTCAACGTTTTCAAACGCGTTTATGGGTAGTGCTCCGCTTGTAAGGGTTGCAGTGTAGTGTGAAATAGCCTTAAAAGAGCCCCATTGAATATTCTACCCGACATAGACATTCTTTTTAAACAAATAACTGACATATAGGAGGACGGAGCCGCGGGACAAAGGTAATTAAAGAATAATTCGTTTCTTTTTTAAATAAAATCTAAAAAGTTTTTAACCAACTCCAAATTATATATGCTACGGA